TTGCTTACTTTTACAGCCCCTTCTGTCTCCACAAACCAGCGGCGTAACATGGACTGTATGTGGCCGTTGCTCAGATCTTGGTTGGCCTGCATGATCTCCCCCTTCACCACCTCCTCCAACAGCAGTCGCCTCAGACGCCAGTAAAAGAATGACCTAGCGTTCTTCCAGTCCAGGATGTCCTGAAAACATTTGATTAGGTGAAAAAGCAGAAAGGCCGCTCTTTAAAACTGGTAGATTTCTTGCATGTGATCCACGGCTATGGGAAAAAAATCTCTTCATATGTGCCTAATATTTCGTTTGTTTATACCGTGATGACACTCTTTTCCTGCATCCTTCCTGGAGTGTCATGAAGGTCCACAAACTGCACCGCCACCTGGTGGTAGATGGGAAGAAGGAACTCCTCTCTAGACTTCAGTTTGGCCTCCAAGTCTTTACGCTCCTGGCTTGGTAACTCCGGGTTGCCTATGTGGAGTACAACAGCAAACCGTGTGTCACAGCAGGTAAACATTCCCTGGGCCAGTGAGGAAATTTGTGTTCAAGTGAGATTAATTGCTATACCTAGCTGCTCAGCCAGACGGGAATACACAGCATCAATCCTTTGCATGGCCTTTAGCAGGTCTTTCTTTCTGAACTTGATCTCTACTGTGCCCTCGGCCTCTAGAACACCCCCTCTGAAGAGGAATTGAGGTGAACGATCAAATAAGATCAAAGATTTAGAAGAGTAGTGCAGGGAAGCTGTATCGACATGCTCACCTGCTTTCTCGATCTGCATAGAGCTCCATGTGCTGAAGGTTTATAGTGGGGTCGATCACAACCCATGATCCTCCTCTCAGCTCAGCGTGGGGAGGGATGTAAACCAGTACAGGCTGGTTGAACTCAAGCAGGGCATCCACGATGTAAGAGCCAAACTTTAGCACCTGGTCATACATATCTGACACACAGAGCATTCATGTTGAAAGAAAAGCCCTTAAAACTTTGCAGATACACTGCCGTTCATAAATGTTCCTGAAAGAAGTTTACATGCTCACCAAGGCTGCATTTATTGAATGATAAATACAGTAATATTGTGAAATATTATTACAATTTTAAATAACAGCTTTCTATATGAATATATTTTAAAGGGGTCATATGATGCGATTTCAAGTTTTCC